CATCGAGATGGAGCTGCAGCTGGGCAACATCGACCGCTGCCGCACGCTGTACCAGAAATACATAGAGTGGAGCCCCGCCAACGCGGGCGCGTGGGGCAGGTGGGGCCCATGGCTGTGGGGAGAGGCGCCGGGGGGGGCCTGGTTGGGGGGCTGGGCAGCCGGCTGGCCCGCGCTGCCATGCAGCGGGCGGCTGTGAGCTTGGGGTGGAAGCCTCCTGCTCCACAACAATCGACACACAACAAACGACACACACCACACCACACCACACCACACCACACCACACCACACCACACCACACCACACCTCACCCCACCACCACCCCCGCAGGTTTGCCGACCTGGAGCGCAGCCTGGGCGAGGCGGAGCGGGCGCGGGCGGTGTACGAGCTGGCCATCGCGCAGGCGGTGCTGGACATGCCCGAGGTGCTGTGGAAGGCGTACATCGACTTTGAGATCGGGGAGGGGAACCGGGAGGGGGCGCGCGAGCTGTACGAGCGACTGCTGCAGCGCACGCGACACGTCAAGGTGCGCCCTGCCGCGCGCGTGTGTGTGTGTGCGCGCGCGCGCCCGTGGCGGTGGGCGGCGGCGTGGTGGCAGCGGCGGCGGCTGTGGTGGTGGTGGTGGTGGTGGTGGTGGTGGTGGTGGAGGAGGTGGGGGGGCCAGCCTTGGCGGGGGTCGGGGTTGCGCGGGCGGCACCGTCAACGACCGCAGCCGCCTGGCGCGCACGCCTGCTTGCGCGCCTGCGTGGTCCGCCTGGACAAGCACACACAGATGCGCGCGCCTGACGTGAGCCTGGCCGACCCGTGCCCGCCCGTTCCTGCCCTCCCCTGCCCCCGCCTTGCACCCCGCAGGTCTGGCTGTCGTACGCCAAGTTTGAGGCCACTCCGCTGGCGGTGCTGGCCATGCCGGCTGAGGAGGACGAGCAGCAGGATGAGGAGGCGCGGCAGCAGCAGCTGGCGGAGGCGGAGGAGGCGGAGGGCGGCGAGGCGGGCACAGGTGGGCCACGGCAAGGCCCCGGGCCGGGTGCTTGCGCCTCCCGCCCTGGGCGGCCTGGCCGCGCGCCTGGCTCGCCGGTCGCATGCGTGCCGCCGCACCTGCCGCCGGGCATACACCTGCTTGCCTGCTCCTTGGTCGCCGTGCGCCCCTGGTCCACGCTGCCTGCCGACTCCCGTGGTATGCCGCCACCCACTGCCAACCCCCCACCCACCCCTACGCCCCTCCCCCGGACACGCAGCGGAGCGCGAGGCGCGGGCGCGGCGCGTGTACGAGCGCGCGTTCCGCGGCCTGCGCGACTCGCAGCCCGATGCCAAAGAGGAGGCGGTGATGCTGCTGGAGGCGTGGCGTGCCTTCGAGGCGGCCGCCTCCTCGCGGCCCGCCGAGGAGGCGGCGCGCGCGGTGGCGGCGGTGGAGAAGAAGATGCCGCGGCGGGTGAAGCGCAAGCGGCCCATCGTGCTGGACGACGGCAGCCAGCCGGGAGGCATGGAGGAATACTACGACTACATCTTCCCGGTGGGGGTGGGGGGGTGGGGGGGTGCGGGGTGCGGGGGGGTAGGAGGGCACCGCTGTTGCTTTTGTTTGCCTGTATGTGTGAGGGGTCGCGCTCAAAGCGTGGCTGGAAGTGCTCGTTGCGGTGTGGCGTGCAGGGGTGCGTTGTGTGTGGTGGTAGGCGGTGCGAGTTGTTGCCTGCGCTGTGCTGCGCCTGCGCGTGCCTGGCGGCGAGGTGGTTGACAGCTGGCCGCGCGCCCCGCCGTGCAGGACGAGGCGGCGGCGGCGCCCAACCTCAAGCTGCTGGAAATGGCGCACAAGTGGAAGCGGCAGCGGACCGAGGGCGATGGCGGCGGCGATGCCGACGCTGCGGCGGCGTGAGGGCGATGCGGCACGGCACCTCCCGTGCCTCCCGCGCCCCCGCGACACCCCCTCGTTCACTGCTTTGCTTTGTGTTCTCTGCTCCGCTGCTGGCCGGCCAGAGTGCCACGCCGTTGTTGTCCATGCTCAACTCTTCCTGCTCCCGTCTGGCTCGCTGCTGATCAATATTCATGAGAGGCTCCTTGGTGGCAGCCCTGATCATCTCAGTAACAGAGCAGGTGTTGGAAATCCTCGTTCTGGCGGCGGGAGCGGCGAGGCGGTACAGGACAGGTGACATTGTAGACAGGCCCTCCTTTCGGACCTAGCGCCAGACTGCTGCTTCTGGGCGTCCAAACATGGCCAGGCAGGCGCCTGCAGCCCAAGCTGACCCACGCGCAGCGGGCTTCGGCACCCTGCCGGATGAGCTCGTGGCGACTGGCATCCTGGGCAAGCTCAGGCTGCGGGAGAGGTGAATCGGGGCTTGAATTGCGGTTCTCCTCCTGCTGCAGGGAGGGCTAGGGTTGGGTTCGAGGCCTGCCTTCCCGTCTTCCTCTGAACTGGCGGCCGCCATTTTGCTTGCATGAGAGTTTGTCTGGGCCCATGGGGCTGCCTGCCAAGCAGCAAAGCGTGCAGCGCGGCGGCCCGCCGCGACGCTCAAGCCCAAGTCACCCACCCTGTGCTCTGCCGCCTCTGCCCCATTTTCTTATGAGCCGCTGTCTGCGCCTGCCTCCTGGCCGCCGCAGGCACCGCGCGGTTCCGCTCACGTGCAAGCGCTTTGAGCGCCTGGTGCACAGCCCGCAGCTCCTGCGCGAGATCGTAAGGCCGGAGCTGGGCCTGAGGGAGCCTGGCGGCAGCCTGAAGGGCAAGGCCTTCCTGCGCTGGCTTGCCCGCCGCGCGGCCCAGCACGTCGAGCGCCTGGACCTGCTCCTGGAGGTGCCGCACCCGCACGATTTCGGAGGGGAGGTGCCTTGGGACGCCGACGACGACTTTGGCGCCGGCATGGGCCTGGAAGATTGCGCTGGGGAGCCCGTGTATGAGCGCGACAGCGAGGGCTGGGAGGCAGAGGGGCCGTGCCGGAGCGAGCGGGCGGCGAGCCGCTCTGGGCGCCTGCGGCGGCGCTCTGGGTGCCTGCGGCGGCGGCCGCCTGACCCACCTGCGCCTGGATCTGCAGGAAGGCTCCTAAAAAGCTTGCCATGGCCTTCAGGCACCCAAAGTAAAACTTTTACAAGAATTATTATTCTCTGTTCGCTGTATCGCTGTTTCGCTGGCATTTGCTGTACAGGTGGCTGGTTCGCTCGACAGTTGACAATAGAAAGAGCGTCTGAATATGAGACAGGGGCAAAACATGCTATGGGGCAAAACATGCTATGGGGCAAAAACATGCTATGGGGCAAAATCATGCTATGGGGCACGGGGACCACACCCAGCTGGTGGTGGAAACCCCTGCCACTGGTGCTGCCGCAGCTAGCTGCGGACTTGCAGGCGGCCGCACTCCTGGCACGCTGACGGGGTGGCCTGCGGGCTGGCCAGCGGGTGCGTCTGCCGTCCCATGTGGCCCTCCATCCAGCACAGCCGCTCGCGGGCGTCGTCAAGCTTGGAATCCAGCTTTTCAAGCTTGGAATCCAGCTTTTCAAGCTTGGAATCCAGCTTCTCTATTACGCTATCCATGTGTCCCCTTATGAACCATACCCCACTGCCCACAACGGCCACAAGCGTGAACACGCCCCCCACGATCTGGCCCACGGAGAAGTGGACTGGGGAGTCGGTGCGCAGCACGGCCTGCAGCGGAGGAGGCCAAGCGATTGCTCGTTTTGCCCTTGCTTGCAACAGCTGGTGCAAGTGGAAGCATAGGGATCAGGCGCAGGAGGACAGGCATGCACATGCACTAGTGCATAACCCTCGGCTGCTCACCGGCGCAGCTGCAGAGCCGCCACCGTTGGCGGGCCCACCAGAGCCGTCGCCGTCGCTGCCGCTGCCGCCGCCGCCGCCACCGCCACCGCCATAGCGCCCACCGCCACCGCCCGACGCGCCGCCGCCGCCCCCGCCTGCCGAGGCCTGCGCCCGCGAGGCCATTCGCGTGACGCGCACGGGCGTCCTGATCTCGCGCCCTGCAGGCCAGAGCAAGCAACATGTGCTGTCGTTGTGGGAGTGCTATCGGTCCGTCTGAAGAGCCTTGGCCTCCGCAGGGAGCAACCAGCGGCTATGCTCGCCATCAACTCACCTTGGCGGGCCTTGGCGGCCATCATGCGAGACGCCGAGCTTCCAGTGAAGGGAGCCACCCCCTGCAGCGCACACAGCGCCGACGCCATCGCTGGCAGTTATCCCCACATGTTCAAGAAAAAGAAGAAGATATGACCAAACACGGGTGTGTGTGTGAGGAACCCAATCAGACGTGGGTATGAACTGTCCTCCCCGGGCCGGAGCCGTCGCTGCCACCGTTTCTCCCCCTGAGTCACCCGTGTTTGGTCACATCTTCTTCGTCTTCGGGCCCGCCGCTCTCGCCGTGCCCGCCTTCGATCTGAAGCGCCGCACCGGCCGCACCATGGATCACGAGATGGCGTTGGCTCCAGGCGGCCGGGGGAGCGGCGGAAGCCACTGGAGCACGAAATATGCCGCCATTTCCAGCCCTGCCGCCATTTCTGCTACAATTCTCAGGAGCATGGCCTTGCCGCCGCCGCCGCCGCCGCCGCCGCACACCGCAGCTGGCACCCCGCCCGTGCAAGAGCCTTGGGGTTTTCAATCGCCGGCAACAGCCTTAGGTGTGGTGAGGGATGGGGTGTAGGGATCGACAGCCGACAACAGCCTTAGTGTTTTTTTCCAGTCCCAACGCGCCACAACTGGTGTCCCTTGCACGCGACGTGCCTCCTTCAACGGCAACATTGGCAATGAGCACAAACCACGGACATTCATGCACCGTCGCTGCTGCAAAACAAGTGCATTGAGTGCAGCAAACAGCACAGGGCGGCAGTAGGTTGCAGGCTGGCGGCAGGCGCCGACGCACGGCGGTGCTGCCCCGGGGCCCCGCCTGATCCCCGGCGAGGCCCAGGGAGCCAGAGGCTGCCTGCCTGAACGAGGGAGGTGAGAGGAGGCGAGCTCAGGAGCCCGCCCCGACCGGCCCGAGGGCTGGCAGGCAGCCTCTGGCGGACTGGGCGGAGTGGATGCACACCCTCAGTCTGCAGGTGCTCACCTATCGTGGGTTCCTCCCCAGCATCACATCGCCCACTCATAGGGGGAAACGGTGGCAGTGACTTCCAGAGGAAGCCGTTGTGCCGCTCTGCTGAGGCAGTATGTGTACAGTGCGCTTACAGAACACGTGTCCTGCAAGAGCAGGCAGCGCTGCTCCCTTTCCCTTTGTTGTTGACGAGTGAAGTAACCGCTCGCCAAACCTGTGCATGAGCAACTGTAAAGAACCAGAGAGAGGAGGTTACGGCTCCTGCTGCGCGCTGCTGCCGGCGGGCGCCGCCGCCGCGCCAGCCCCTGCCCCGGCGGCTGCCGCCTCGGCCTTGCGCCGCTCCAGCTCCTGCTGCAGCTCCTGCAGCCGGCTGCTGGCCTCAATCTGCTCGGCCGAGATCTCAAACAGAGGCTTGCGGACCTCCCACGCCGCCGCCGAGCCGCTGCTGCCGCTGCCATCAGCGGCCCCAGCCTCGGCCATGCCGCTGCCGCTGCTGCTGCCAGGCGCTGCCTGCACCTCCACCTCCTCCTCCTCCTCTAGCTCCGGCTCCACCTCTGTTGCCGCCGCAGGCAGCGAGGGCGCCGCAGGCGCAGCCGCCGCCGGCGCGGCTGCAAGGGCGCTGCGCTGGCGGGCCTCCTGCAGGCCCTCCAGCACGGCGTTGTCGACCACCGCATCGGCCCGCCGCTCCGCCTGCACCGCTGCCAGCCGCTGCTCAAAGGCCGCCTGCTCAGCCGCCGCCGCCGCCTCGCGCGCCGCCATCTGGTCCCGAGCCGACTTCATGGCACGGTTGGCGCGGCTGATGGCTGGGAACCACTTCTCATTGTTCTCCAGCACCACTGCACGGCGTGGGGCGGGGAGGCAGGCGGGGCAGGTGAGCTGCAAGCCAGGAGCAGGCGCAGGCGGCCGCTGGGGAAGTGTCGGCAGACTGGAGCGATCCTGGGTGGGCACCCATCCATCAGGCAGCTGGCGCCAGGTGGTTTCCAAGCCTGCGACCAGCGTGCCAGCCGCAGCCCAGCGCCCCGCCGCACCTGTGCTGCCAAACAGGGCGGTGGCGCCCAGCACAAACAAGGTCCAGATGCGCCCCTTCTTGACCTCCTGCCGCTTCAGAGGCTTGGCCATCTGGGTGGCCTCCTGCGGAGTGACGGTGGTGATGTCTGCCAGGCTGGCGGGCACAGCGGAGAACAGCAGCAGGCCCGAGGCGGCGACCGCGGCGGCGGTGCGGGCCAGCAGCTGCGTGGGCGTGGGCGCCGCGATCTCAAAGGCGCTGCCCGGCCCCTGCGCAGAGCGAAACAAGGGAACGGAAGAGTGAGGGTGATGAGATGCACGCCCTTCAAGCTGCAGGGAAGCAGGTCCATGGATCCAGCCGCGCGAGCCCGCACCTTGTCGCCGCCGATGGCGGAGCACCGCGCCGCCGCCAGTGGTAGGCGCCTGGAAGGCACCGTGGCCCACCGCCCGCCGCTCAACGTGGTGTGACTCCAGGGCGCTGGAAGCGCCTGTGCGGTGGCTGAGGCCAGCATGACGGTGGCTGGAGGCGGTGGTGTGAACGGTGGGAGCGAATGCGGCTGCCGCAGGTCAGCTAACAGATGTAGCAGGTGTGTCCGGTTGCTGCAAACGGAGAATGCGCATGCCAGAGCGAGCCCAGCAGGATCATGCCGGCCCCTCCCTTCCACCTGCCGGCCCATGCAGCGCTGCCAAACTCGCACTGCGCTGCCCGCAGCTGTAATTGGGTCAAGGCTCGTTGCTGTGACCATCTCGTTCCCCCGCAGGCGCCCTCGATCCCCAGCATCGCACGTCTGATCACTGCCTCCCGCTTCAATTCCCGCGCCCTGTCGCCTCAATTGGGCGCCCCGCACCGTGCCAGTGGCTGGCAGCATAGGAGCCGAGGCAGGGAGAGCGGCACCACCTCGCCACTATGATGCAAGCGCCGGTCACGGTGCTGCAGGCCAACACCAAGCGGGACACGGGAAAGAAGGCGCAGTATGGCAACATCATGGCGGGCAAGGTGGGCCCCCGCTGCCATGCCGCTGCCGGTCAATCCGAGCGGTGGCTGCACTGCGGTTGCTCTGGCCAGGCGCACGTTCAGCCTCTAGCAGGCTCCAGCTGCAGCCCTGGTCGGCTGCTGGGCCATCCAGGCACCAGTATCACCCGCCAAGCAGCCCCCCATGCCTGTCTTGCCCCATGGTGCTCCCCATCCCGCCCTCCCTGCGCCGCCCGCAGGCCGTGGCCGACATTGTGCGCACCACGCTGGGCCCGCGCGCCATGCTCAAGATGCTGCTGGACGCCAACGGCGGCATCGTGCTGACCAACGACGGCAACGCCATCCTGCGGGAGATCGACGTGAGCCACCCCGCGGCCAAGAGCATCATCGAGCTGAGCCGCACGCAGGACGAGGAGGTGGGCGACGGCACCACCTCCGTCATCATCCTGGCCGGCGAGATGCTGGCGGCGGCGGAGCCATTCCTGGAGCGCAACCTGCACCCCACCACCATCATCAGGCGTGTGCCACGCCAGCCGGGCGCCAGCCTGGCGGCCCGGCGTGCGCGCGAGCATGCCGGCGACGCCGGCGAGACGTGCACAGCCAAGCAGCGTGCTCGCGTCCCATGCCTGCCTGCCGCCCCGTGCTGCTGTCCCCACACGCGCTTGCTACGCTACCCCCGGCTGCCTGCCCATGTGCGTCTGTGCACCCGCACGCGTGCGCGCGCGTGTGCAGGGGGTATGTGCGGGCGCTGGAGGACGCGGTGCGGGTGGTGGACGAGGTCTGCTTCCCCATCGACACCAACGACCGCCAGCAGATGCTCAACATCGTCAACAGCTGCATAGGCACCAAGTTCACAATGCGCTTTGGCTCGCTCATCGCGGTGCGCGGGCGGGGGAGGCGGGGGGGCAGCTGGGGGGCAGCTGGGGCACTCAGGCAGGCTTGGTAGGCTGGGTAGGCTTGGCGCTCCGGCCTGGAGATTAGTCCGCAGGAGTGCTGCCGGCCACAGGGAACGCCACAGCCAGCTACTCCCTGCTACTCCGCTGCTTGCCTGCCCCGGCTGACCGGTGTGTGGCTGGGCTGGCTGGCTTGGCGGGGGTGCAGGAGCTGGCGCTGGATGCGGTGCAGACCATCACGGTGGACCATGGGGAGGGGCGGCGGGAGATCGACATCAAGTGAGGACCTGGCTGCCCCGGCCCCGGCTGGCATGGCTGGGTGGCTGGCTGGGTGGCTGGCTGGGTGGCTGGCTGGCCGGCGCCACCGAGCCTGTGCCTGCGGCAGCCCAGTGTGCAGAGCTCGCAGCACCGCCGCCTCCTGTGGCTCCCCATTGTCAGTATGCACGCGTGTTTCTGTGTTTTGGTTGATGTCGTGTTGGTGTCCTCAACCTGCCCGCCTGCCCTCACACTGCCTGCCTGCCTTCCCTGCCCCTGCCCTCAGGAAGTACGCCAAGGTGGAGAAGATCCCGGGCGGCGACATCCAGGACAGCCGGGTGCTCAGGGGCGTGATGTTTGAGAAGGATGTGGTGGTGCCCGCACGCATGCGGCGGTGAGTTCCTGGGGGGTGCTGCTGCTGCTGCTGCTGGCGCGGCTGCTCGCTTGTTTGCTTGTGAGCATGCCTCAGGTCTTCTCACCCATCAATTTCCGCTTCCGCCCCTTGGGCCCCGCCCCGCCCTGGGTCACCCACCGCGCCTGCTCCTGCGCCTGCGCCCTGCCCCGCCCCGCGCTGCAGCAAGATCCACAGCCCACGCATCCTGCTGCTGGACTGCCCGCTGGAGTACAAGAAGGGGGAGAACCAGACCAATGTGGAGCTGATGAAGGAGGAGGACTGGTGAGTGGGGGCTGCTGCGTGTCTCTCGTGTGTGTGTGTGTGTCATGGTGTGTGGTCTTGTGTGCGCTTGGGTGGGCCTCACGTGCTGCAGTGTATGTGTATGTGTGTGTGTGCCCCCCGAGTGCGTGGCTCTTGGGTACAGCCCAGCCCAGGCGCCGCACTGGCACCATGCTAGCATCAGCGCCGCCCCTGCCGCCGTGCCGCCGCCCCCGCCCTCGCCTGGCGGCTGCAGGGCCACGCTGCTGAAGATGGAGGAGGAGTGGGTGCAGCGTACCTGCGAGCAGATTGCCTCCTTCAAGCCAGACCTGGTCATCACGGGTGGGCAGGGTGGTGGGGCTGGGGTGGAGGGGCTGGCCAGGGGAGCCTGTGTGTGTGTGTGTGTGTGTGTTCTGAGCGGGGGTTGAGGGGCTGGCAACAGGACCGTGTGTGTGTGTGTGTGTATCCTGGCGGCCCGGGAAGCGTGATCCTGTCGAGCCAGAGAGCGGGGGGCCTCGGCAGTGTGGATGGTTCCAGGGACGCCCCACCCGCCACATCCCCCACGCCCCCGCCTGGCCCCGCCGGGTCACCTCGCGTGCCTGCCGCCTGCCTTGCCTCCCGCCGCGCGCTGCCCCGCCCGGCCTCACCTCGCATGCCTGCCTGCCTGCCCACCTGTAGAGAAGGGCCTGAGCGACCTGGCCGCCCATTACCTCATGAAGGCCGGCATCACCTCCATCCGCCGCCTGCGCAAGACGGACAACAACCGCATCGCGCGCGCCTGCGGCGCCACCATCGTCAGCAGGCCGGGTGGGTGCCAGCTGCGCCAAGCAGCTGTGCCAAGCACTGGCACAGCTGAGCCTGGCCAGGGCGTGCTGCGGGTCGCCGCCTGCGCTGGCTCTCCCAGCTGAGCTCACAGCAATCACTGGTCACTGCTGCCTGCCTGGTGCTGGCCCGCAGATGAGATCCGGGAGGCAGACATCGGCACAGGCGCGGGCCTCTTTGAGGTTCGCAAGATTGGGGATGAGTTCTACACATTCATCGTCGACTGCAAGGTGGGCCGGGCTGGTGTGCCTGGTTTGAGAGGGGGGGTGCATGGGGCAGGCGAGGGGCTTTGACAGGCGGGGAGGTGGCCTGGGGGAGGAGGGTGGGATGCGTGCACGCAGGGGGTGTGTGCCGCTGCACCCAGCCCAGCTGGCGGGGTGGCCTGGGTTGAGATGGTCCCAACAGCCCCTCCCTCCACCCAACCTTCTCCCAACTCCCCACCTCACCCCCGCTGCCACGCTCCTCCCCCCTGCCTCTCCCGCCAGGACCCCAAGGCATGCAGCGTGGTGCTGCGGGGCGCGTCCAAGGATGTGCTGAACGAGGTGGAAAGGAACCTGCATGATGCCATGGGCGTGGCGCGCAACGTGTGCATAGGTGGGTGCGGGCGGCGGCAGGCGGCATGGTGTGGCGAGGCAGGCGAGAGCAGCGGCTGGGAGTACTGGCACATCAGGGCATGTGCAATCGGACACCTCGGGGTTTGGCGCCTGCCTCGGCTTGGCTCCCACACGCCGCCCCGCTCTGCTGCGTTCCATCCCCTCCCTGCCCTCTCCCCGGCTGCAGACCCGCGGCTAGTGCCGGGCGGTGGCGCGGTGGAGATGGCGGTGTCGCGGGGGCTGGCGGAGCGGGCCAACAGCGGCGCTGTGGAGGGCGTGGAGCAGGTGGGGCCCCCCTGCAGCCTCCGCTAATTTTGCTTCGCCCCCGCCTGGCCCCCTGCTGGCCTGCCGCATCAGCAGCGCATTGCCACCACCACCACCACCACCACCGACACCGACTCGCACCCCGCCTGCACCTCCTCGCTGTCTGCCATGTATTGCGGCGGTACAGGGCCCGTACCGCGCGGTGGGCCAGGCGCTGGAGGTCATCCCGCGCACCCTGGCCCAGAACTGCGGCGCCAACGTGATACGCACCCTCACCAAGCTGCGGGCCAAGCATGCAGAGGATGCCGCCTGCACCTACGGAATCGACGGTGAGGCAGAGGCACAGCGGGTGCCTGCGGTGGTGGTGGTGGCGGGCGGCGGAGGGCTGGCTCGCAGGCACGCGGCACGGGCGGATGTGGGGAGCCGGGCTGGCGTCACCTGGGGCAGCCGCCCCACCCCACGCTGCTGCACCGCACCCCCACCTCCACGCCCGCCGCCTGCTGCCCTGTGTGCGCCTGCCTGCAGGCAACAGCGGGCAGATCGTCGACATGAAGGAGCTGGGGGTGTGGGAGGCGTACCAGGTGAGAGGAGGCAGGCAGGCAGGCAGGCAGGCATCCAGGCCCGGCACGCCCTTCTGTCGGCAACCCCCGCCCTGCACCTCAGCACTCGCCCCCGCTGCCGGCCTGCTGGGCCCGGGTCGCCGCTCCCCCCTCCACCCCACAAGCCAGCCATCACACGCACGCGGCCACCATGCACCTCCCCACCCACGCCCTCACACCCTCACGCCCATCAACCTCCTCCCTGGCGCCCCCGGCTGTGCCCCGTGTGCAGGTCAAGGTGCAGACCATTAAGACGTCCATTGAGGCCGCCACCCTGCTGCTGCGCATCGACGATATCGTGTCGGGGCTGAAGAAGCGGGACAAGCTGGGGCCCGGGCAGAGCAGCAAGCCGCAGGTGGACGACGGCGAGAACGTGGACAGCGAGCAAATGCTGGCCGACTGAGGCGGCGGCGAGCGCTCGGCTCGGCGCCTCCGGGCGCCGGGCCACGCCTTGGTTGCAGAGGCGGCGGCGGCGGCGGCCTCCATTTGCTCATGCATGCATCGTTGCAACGACGCACCCTGCACCTGTCGCATTTATCTTATCGCTGACCTGTCAGCCTGACTCTCGCAACGAGGTGCCAGCCAAACAGCTGGGAGGCAATGCGCTTACAAGGTTGAACAGAGGAAGCGCAGCGCATTGCAGGGCCCCGTGTCACAGAAGCCTCGTGGGCAGAGATGCAATGGGGGGAAGTGCAACCATCGGAAGAGAGAACAAGGGAGAGTGGCTGCTGCTGCTGCTTGTCACGCCGGCGAGCGGCAGGCGGCCGCCCGGCTGCGCAGCCGCGTCACCACCCCGCAAACTCCTCCTTCTTGCGCCGCTTCTTCTCCTCCTGCAGCACCCGCATGCGCGCCTTCTTGGCCTGCGCCTCCGCCACCACCTTGAGGTGCTTGGGGTCCTGCCTGCCAAAGGAGACGGGGTACTGGCCGCGCCGCGCGCCGCCGCCCTGCGCGCCGCCCTCGTCGTCGTCGTCGCCCAGCGGCGCCGCCGCCAGCAGCTGCTTCTTGGCCGCCTCCGTGGCCTCGATGTTGGCCAGCTTCTGCTCCATGCTCAGCGGCACCTCGGTGATGCCTGCCACCCAGCTGGGGCCCAGCTCCGTGTCCTGCTGCCGCTTCTGGAGGCCCTCGGGCATGGCTGCCAGGAGCGGGTCCTGCATGCGCGCGCGCCGCTCCGCCTCCGCCGCCGCCGCCTCCTCCTCCTCCTGCCCGGGCCGCCCCATGCGCTTGGCCAGCTGCTCCTCAACGTACTTCTTCCTGCAGGCGGTACGAAACGGCGGCGGCGGCGGCGGTACGGTTGGCACCGGCGGTGGGGGCGGTACGATGCAGGGACCACAGGGCGACGCCCCCAGCAGCGCAGCAAGAGAAAGAAGGCGGAGAGCTGGGGCTCGTGGCAGGCATCCACGCAGCAGGAAGCCCAGCGCAGCTTGCTCCGGCCCAGCCCCAGCCCCAGCCCAGCCCCCAGCCCCCAGCCCCCAGCTCCCAGCCCAGCGCCCAGCCCAGCCCAGCGCCTCACATGTTGACGTCCTCATCCTCCGAGTGAAGCCGCCGCTCGCGCTTGAACGCCGCCTGTAGCACATCACCCACCACCGCCGCTGCCCCCGCCTCCTTCCGCTCCACCCGCACGTCAGCCACCATCAGCGAGCCGACATCCACACCCTGCGGAGGGCCGGTGCGGACATGAAGGAGGGTGGGGGTCAGCAGTGGGGGTGGCGGAGGCTGGCGGAGCGGCTGCGTGTTGGTCCGCAAGGGCAGCTGCTGGCTCCTGAACGCGCGCCCCAGGCAGCGCACACGCTGCCAGCTTGCAGGCGCCAGGCCGGCTGCACGCCGCGCGTCTCGGCAGTGGCCAGGCGCACCGTGCGGCGCTGCCGCTGCTTCTGCAGCAGCTTGATGTCATCGGCTGTCAGCTTGGGCTGCCCCTCCGCCCCCTCCGCCTCCCCCTCTGACAGCTCCTCCTGCTCATCCAGCGCGCGCTTCTTGCGTATGTTGCGCTGCTTCATGCTGCTGTGCTGTCCGCCGCTGCCGCTGCCCCCGCTGCTGCTGCTGCGCCACCTTCCTGTGGGAACCAAGCGGTGGTCTCAACGGAAGATGGGTCAGGGCTGCAGCTGCACTGTGTCTTTTTGTCACCCTGCCTGCAGTGCAGCGGCGCACGGCCGGTGCGTGAGGGAAAAAGCGGGGCGGCAGCGGCATAGCGGCACTGCGCTACCGCACGCTGGGGGCCAGGTGCTGGGGGCCAGGGTAGCGCCATGCAGCCAACCGCTGCTCCGGCTATCCCCCGTGGCATTGCTGGTGCCTGGCGCTGCGCCCAAGGGTGCTGCACTCACCAGGCGTGTGATGGTGGCTGGGGCGCCGAGAAGGTAGCCAAGGATGGAGGTAGTGTGTCTGATGAGAATGCAGCGTGCGCAGGGCCTGTTAGAGACATCCCTGGGCGACGGCCACGAGAGCACAGCACGAGAGCACGGTGTGCCCTGTTCCGTCCAATCTGGCTGCCGGCCGTAGCTGGCCGATTGTGCTTGCTAGCTACCGCTGGGAACAGCACCGCTCGCTGCAAGGGTGCCGAGTCCCCGTCCAGCCAGGGCTCTCTCGCGCAGCAGACCCGTCCCAGCCCGCAGCAGCTGTCTCATCAGGCATCGCACACAGCCATGGCACAGCCGGCTGGCGACCCCCTCGCGGGGAACACGCGCTACCGCAAGATCAAGGACATTAACAAGGGCAGCTTTGGCTTTGTGGTGCTGGCTGAGAATCTGGAGACGCGGGAGCAGGTGGCCATCAAGTTCACGCGCGTCGAGTGAGTGAGGCCGGCAGGGGTGGCGCCCCGCCTCTGCCGCCCTGCTGCACCCCCTCCGCCGCCCCGCCAGCTCCTGCAAAGCGCAGAGCGGGTGGGGCTTGGAGTGGGTTTCCAGCCTGCTGATCTTGCGCTGCTGCGCGGGTGCAGCGCAGCCCTACACGCAGCCATCCCATGCGTAACCGGCATGCCGCTCATCCGCGCTCGCCCGCCTGCCGCGCGGTGTGCCGACTCACTCAAGCACATGTGCCTCCTCCCGCGCCACCTCCCCCCGCCCGCAGCTCGGAGCAGGACGTGAAGCACGCGCACCGCGAGATCATGAACCACCAGCGCCTGCTGCACCCGCACGTGGTGCAGCTCAAGGAGGTGTTTGCCGCCAAGCCCTTCCTGGCGTTGGTCATGGAGTTTGTGCCCAACGGCGACATGTTCCAGGTGGGAGTGTGTGTGGTGAGGGGGTGCATGCACAGCATGGCGGTGGCAGGGAGCGGGCAAGCAGGGGTCATCAAGCGTCTGGCGCCGACGCCCGCTACCCTGGACACGTTTTGCCTCGAGCCTGCCGGCACGCACACTCGCCCACGACCCCCTGCCTGGCCCTGCCCTCCCCTGCCCTCTCCTTCCCGCAGTACGTGGTGTCCCGCCGCGGCCTGCCCGAGAGCGAGC